ATAAGAGGGATGTCCGGAACTGCCGCCCGATATCGGAACGTTGCTTATAAGACACTAGCGAAGGCACTAGCACTAACTTAAAGGCTCTTTGCGAAACTCCCACACACACTACGGATCTATCCATGGGTTCCCCCGAAACAGCAACGTCCCGAAGAAAGAAGGGAGAGAATGAGGGCAGACAATTTCATGGTAGAGTTTCGTCACATCCCAATTGAAATCCAAGCAGCGTTTGTTCGAGACTTTGGGGAGAAATTCGATATCATTGACTTCATTGACCAGCTGCCCCCGCATGTGCCGAAACGAGATGATTACCTCATGTTGGCAATCGATCTCCCAGAGGGGCAGCCTTTTATCTGTCGATGACATAATCCCCTTCCGGATGCGCGATAAAGACTTTAAGATTCATACGGCTCACAAGCTGCGCCCTTGGTGTTTCAAGTGCCAAGCCTATGGTCACCTATACACGGACCCGGTGTGCTCCCACCATCCAATCAATCAAGTTACGGTCACAGGGTGCCTAACTCAAGACCCATTTCGGAGCACACACTGGCGCACCGTCGACCCGGGACACGAAGGATGGGTCTTCGCCGATAAGAACGACGAGGACGAAAATATCATAGGGTGGGTGTGGGAAGGGTCAGGTGAACCTAACCTCGATTCCAACCCCCCTTTTACCTGGACATCCCCGAAGACGGTAGAATCCCGCTTACAACCTCAGGGGCTCACTCCCGTAGAAAGGACTGTCCGAAAGGACAAATCTCCTCCCACTGAGTCACCCCCAATAACAGTAGATTCCCAAGCAAATTCACAGGGGCCTGCCCCTGTTGAAAAGGTTGTCCAGGAAGGGAATCAGAATGGATGGAAGAAAATTGGCCCAGCCCCGGAGGACTACCTGCTAGATCAAGGTAACCAACCTCTGCCAGAAGCCTCAAAAAAGGGGCATCCAAGTGGGCCAGGACTCCTGAACAAAATAGAGAATAAGGAGGTAGGGGCATGACTCAACAGATTCTCTGTATTAGCCAATGCGCTATGAGGTTCTAGGAAGGGAGAGGCAGTGAGTCAGGACCGGCATCACATTCAGCCTCACATGCAATCATCCAATAACCCATGCGCAGTTAAAGGTTCGAAGGACCCTTATGGAGATGTATCGGAGCATAATGTCGAAGGGAAGGACAACCCGACAAATCTTGAGATTGCCCTGATAAGTAGCCCTTCTCTTATGATCAATACGGTCCCTAAACGCAGAGGCCCCGGAGGATTTCTGGCCCCTGGCATATAAACAGCTTAGGAAGGCCCTCGAAGATAGCATAAGGGTGAGACTCATTTTGGAACAAGGCCTCTTGAGCCACATACAATGGGAGGAGGTACTCCAAAGACTTTTTAGATTCTCATTGGCCCATCTCCAGGCTCCGGTAAAGGAACTGCGAGGGGCTCAGGAACACCTGCCAGCAAAGCTCCCCCGAGCACAACAGGGAGAAGATAGACAACAGGACACGGATATGCAAGGGCGGCAGGAGAAGGTACCCGCCAGGGAAGGAAAAAAGGTAACTGTTTCCGAAGAGAACCAAGGAACAGGTTACCTAGAGGAAGGGTGCAAGGTTGCTCAGATAGAGCCTCTTGCAGAGGACTACCTCGAAGGGGCCTTATGTCCACAGCCCATGGAGATCGAGGATCCTCCTGTTCCCCTTCCCCCCCTTCCGGATGTGGCCGCAATGGACATTGACCAATGGGAGGATATGTGTGCTTCTCCAACAGACATGGATACGGAGCAGAAACTAAGAATTACCGCTGACTGGCTTATCAAGGGCTTCTGTGCCCAATACCCAGCCGGGACACATGATTTCTGGAACTGTACTTATGCCCAGTTGTTTGCCATTCCAGATAAGAGCCCAACCCTGCGCAAAGCCCTAGAGGCTGCCCCCCCCTCCCCCATCTCCTTATGCCCAGTTGTTTGCCATTCCAGATAAGAGCCCAACCCTGCGCAAAGCCCTAGAGGCTGTTCCCCTTCCCCCCCTTCCGGATGTGGCCGCAATGGACATTGACCAATGGGAGGATATGTGTGCTCCTCCAACACACATAGATACGGAGCAGAAACTAAGAATTATCGCTGACTGGCTTATCGAGGGCTTCTGTGCCCAATACCCAGGCGGGACACATGATTTTTGGAACTGTACTTATGCCCAGTTGTTTGTCATTCCACATAAGAGCCCAACCCTGCGCAAAGCCCTAGAGGCTGCCCCCCCCCCCCCCCCATCTCCTGGTCCAAGATTTCCAGCGGATCCGCCACCTCTCAGCCCAGCAGTTTCAGCCCCCGGAGCAACATCGGCCAACGTCGGATAACCTCGGGGGGAACCAGCCATTGGTCCTGACCGACCTTCACCACGATCAGCCACGCCATACAAAACTCGGGCACTTGGTGGAGGCAGGCCAATACAAGAAGAATTTACAGCAGAAAGAA